GGGGAGTTTTTTTCTTTTTTTACCTCTGTTTCCAGTCAACCTGGAACTGTTACAATCGACGGGGATCATCGCTGGATGAGAGGGAAGATGCGTTGTCAGAGTTGCTGCACTTCCAATTGTTGAAGCCCAGCCTGAGGGCCTTTGAATTTCTTCAATCGTGCAGGAAGAAATGTGGTTTTGACCGCTTTGTTCGGTTATAGCTCCATTCTCGATAGGCGAGAGAGCAGATGAGGAAGAAGACAGGGAGGCTGAGGGGCTGGACCCTGCTCTGCATGCTCTGGATGGGGATGCTGACTCGCTGAGACTTGACATCATGTCCAGTGGCAGGAAGCGCATTCAGTGCCCTGCTTGTTATCTACTACGATCCGCATTTGACGTTTGCAGACCCCTCATTTGGCGTTTGCAGACCCCTCTTACCCTGTTCCATGCAGGGACACACACCCTCCACTCTCACTTTTGAGGCCCACTTCTCTTGTTCAAACTATAAAGCTCAGGGGTCAACCTGCTGGTACCCAGTAGTCGCCCCCCAGGCGCCCCCCCCCCCCCCCCCCCCCCCCCCCCCCCCCTATTCTTCACCTTGTTCATGAACACATTGAACGGTAGCTATACGAGTTACAGGCTTACAGCCGACACAGTTGAGTACGTTGGTCAACCTGGTATGCACGACAGTGACGACATAGCACTATTACCCTCAGAGTCTATGCTTTGCTTTGCTCATGAATGGTAGCTATAGCTGCTATTATACGTGTCACAGCCGACAAAGCGATTCTAGACTCCTCGGTCTGAGATGCCAAACCGGTTCATCATAGCCGACGTTCTGTCCCCACTGTATCTTATTTCCTCCTTTCCAGGATGGGGATCGTCTGATCAACAGATGTCCGAGCAGAACAGAGCTCCCCGAGCGACTGCCTCCTAGTACTTCTTCACCAGTGTGCCACCTCCTTCCTTCAAGTTGATGTTCCTTGCCGCACCTCTCACACCGTATCAGGTTAACAGTCACACAGACTCACACAGACTCACACTAAGTCACTGTTTCAGACCCTCCGAGTTCAGAAATCAGCTGAGTCAGACCTATAATTACCTATTCTGCCTTCTAACACAGTGACATCCACGACCCACGCGTCAAATTGCTTTCCCGGGAATCCCGGCCTTTCTTTTTTTGGGAAAGAAAAGAAAAAGGGTGGAAGTCTTGAGATATACCCACAGGTGACTGGGCCCAGGTAATTCGAGATTATTATAATGGAATTATTAAGCTTCTGTTATGATAGGTCTGTTGAGAGTTTTAAGCCTCTTGCAGTATGATCGGCGTGAAATTGAGGGTCTCAAAACATCGTAATCGAGCCATGAATGTCAGCTATGATGACTCTGTCTGAGAATTCAACCTGAGAATTCTTTTTTTGGGTGTGTCCTGACCGGCCGCAGCAGTACCTGAGAAGCCACTTCCAGCTGGCCTGACACTCTCGCATTGCTGTCGGTTACAGGGGGGCACAACTCACCCCAGCGAGCTACCACCGTTGACTTGCCCTGGCCATCCTCCTCAGGCCATTGCACGTAGTGGCGATGGGATGAGCACCCAGCACCTACCAGTGCCGTACCCCCGCTCATGAAGCGGGGGTTTGTGACTGGGGGCCGGTCACCGGTCATGTTTTTCGTGACCGGCCCCTGGTGACCGCCATCAGCAGTGAGCAGGAAGCTCCTTTTTTTTTCCAGCCAGGTTGGGGGCTGTTTTTATTTGACAGACGTGGGGGTGGAGCTTTTTTCAGGAAACCCCCTCTTTTTTTTTCTTTTTTTACTCTTTATTTTTCTAATGTAATTAAGAAAC